GTTCAGAAATGTCTTTCTGTGTCTTACCCTCTTGCTTGAGGGTGTCAGTGATGGCCTTCTGGACAGCAGTCAGGTCAGCAGTCTSACCCATGATTGTGGTTTTGAGTAATGAACCAGACTGGGAGTTTTTAAAAGCCTCAGGAATCTTTTGCAGGTTTTTAGAGTTAATTCATTGATTCAGATGAYTAGGTTAATAAGTCGTTTAGAGAACCTTTTCATGACATGCTAATTTTTTGAGATAGGAATTTTTGTTTTTTTTCTTTATGTTTTTGCCAAAATCATCAATATTAAAACAATAAAAGGCTTTAACTACTTTAGTTGGTGTGCAATGAGTCTAAAATATATGAAAGTTTAATGTTTATCAGTACATTACAGAAAATAATGAACTTTATCACAATATGCTAATTTTTTTGAGAAGGACATATTGTCATGTGGCCCAATTACTTCATCGTAATATTGCAGCATCTTGCAAATATACAGTAAAAGCAAAGCACCACCCAGTGAGTTTAAGTGAAGGGATGTAGAAAAAAAAATTAGAAGTGCATATTTAATTTAATGACATGATAAGTATCGGATCAAAAATGCATTTATAGTGGGGTTCAATGGGTTCTTTCGCCCTAAAAGAACACTAAAGGGTAGTAAAGTGACTGGGAGATTACAATATTAAATACATGCAGCTTTTTGTGACAGACTGAATGTATCAGGCAGGTGGTGATGAATAATAAAAAAAAAAAAACAATTGCCCTCTGATGCCCTTCAGCATCAATACATTTTTTAGACTGCAACAAAGACACTCCAACAAAAACATGAGCAACAGCTTCACTTCTTCAGTATGGGACTTTGAAAGATGTACTTTGAGCAAATGATGAGCATCACAGATTCAATGTTKGTTCTGTAGGTGGCTTGTTGCCTCAGTTGAACTGTATTAATAAAAAACAAAATAATAATCAAGACTACTGTTGCTTTAAAAGTGGAGACTGATCACCTCACAGAATAAATGTACTATTGATTCTTTTAATGTGTTAATTATAAATTTACGAAAGACTTTACAAAAGGTTTATGACAGGACCAGGATTGTCCACCTCTGTTTTATAATGAACTGCTACGAAACATTTGAGAGTGGAGACAGCAGCAATCACTGAACTAGCCGCTCATTGATCTTCTTAGATGTTGTTCTTTCAGCTGCTCCCTTCTTCAGGAGTCGCAGTGAGCAATTTGACAATTGTTTTACACCAGATACCCTTCCTGACACAACTTGAGATTGAACCTGTGACCTCACTGCAGCACTGACCTTTAAGTTGCTGCAGCCTGATTGGGCTTCTTAGATATTTATTTTGATTTACCTAACAGAGGTCATTTAAAGCAATGGTTCCCAAACTTTTCAACTTTTGACCCACAAAACAACAGYAGCAGAGACCTGTGCTCCCAGCTATGTTTGGATGATAAACACTGGTATCAGGTCAAAGAAACAATGACATAGTATTAATATTCATCATGATACTTTTTATCCATTTTTAATTGCATTAACATCACTTCTTTGCAACATTTATGGCAAACAAAATAATTGTTAGTCTATTTTAAATGTAATTATTTCAGAAGATCATAATTTAGGTCTTGTTCGTGCTACTTGCTGGTGACAGTTTCTCAGGAAAATGCAGCCTTGTGGGGACCGGATGCTCCTTGTGGGGACCAAAGCCCGGTCCCCACAACTTCGGAAGCTGATTTTGGATAGTGGGTTAGGTTTAGGACCAAGGTGTGAAATAAGTTTAGGTTAGTTTTAAATCCTTGCTGAGAAGTATCAACTCTACCAAGTGGCTGTGCCATGACATTTAAATCTTTTTCATTTATTGTCTACATCAATAAAGTGTTCTAAAGAGATAAAAAAAAACTACTACCTCAACAATATTCTGGTACTGAAATGATGGAAAGATGATTACACCGTTTATTTATTGCTAGTAATAATTGTATTATTATGCTTAAGTTTCATGCACATTTTTAGATGAAGTAAGARCCAAAGAAGGAGAAAAGGCGAATCTTAAAAAACAGTTCTAAAATTTAAAAAGGAAAATCTGAGTGATTGTGAAGTTAATAAAAACGACCATTTTGGAAACCTCTTTCAATTTGTATTTTTTTTAATGTATCAAAATCAAAAAACTGCCAACAAAACAAGGAAACACAAATACAAAAACAGAACTTTTTTAAGTCAATCCAACAGAATTAATAAGGCATCTTTTTTATTAAGATTTTTCTAAATTAAATGATAGAAAAGTGAACATAACCATGTGATACACAGGTTCAAACAAACCTATGAATAAATGTGAACTCCTACTGTTTGACATTTTAAAGAAAGAACTTCCTTCTCTGGCACTAGATGGCAGCACTAACACAGAGCAGGCATTGTATATACTGTACGTATCAACCTGTTCTCCACATCAGACATTCATCCATCCAGAGGATTATTAGTCATTATCCATTATCAAGAGATACATTTGGATTAGTGAACATAATCCTTCAATCATAATCCAGATCAACACTGGATGATTTAATCAAATTTGCAGTGGGATGTTCTTCTATAGTAAGACCACTGAGGGGGGTAAAATTTAGGAACATTTGTCATAAATTCCGACACTGAACAACATTTACAATCTTCCATTTTATAACATGCAGTCTTTTAAGGTACTGTGAGATCTCTGAGGTTGTATTAGCCTCTATAGAATCTGTTGAGGATGATCCTCACCTAAAACCACAACAATTTTTGCCCAATATTTTTTAAACTGAGTCATGACAAATGTTGTGTTAACAAGGATCATTAACAGTGACATTCTTGGATTGGGTAACTATGAATGCTATGAGATTATTTGTACACTCTGTGGTTACTTTCTGAGCTTCATTCTTTCCAGTGGTTCTTGAGATATTTCTCTTATAAAAAGGCAGAAAGTTTTGTTTTGTTTTTCAGTGTCCAGGCATTATCCAAAATGTCCATTTGGAGTCTCCCAAATGGATACTTTTGATAATGCCAGGATCCACCAGCATTAAACGTTTGTCTCCTGAATGCTTCAATATACCCTCATCAGTGAGGACTGTTATTAAAGTGTACACAAAGAGGAAACTTGTTCTTTATTGACAAAATGAGGAGCTCATTTCCTTATTGTGCTCTCTAAAAAAGAGAGGGAGAACAAGTTCTATGCTAAATTATTTCTATAATGTAAAACAAAATGTGAAAATAAAAGCCTACAACACACAGCAATACAGCGTTTACTATGTCAGTGTCTAAACACTCATGTTGTTTTCAGCATGCCATTCTTTAAAACAGTTTCTCCTTGGTTCCAAGCACAGGGGGATATCGCACAAGGAGCACTTGACCGCCGTCTCGGCATGGCACTTCTGGCATTTTGGTCGGCCACCAGCCCTTTCGCCGCTGATAAAAACTGGCAGGTGAAGAGCTTTGCTTGGCTCAGGCGTGCTACTCTGTGAGCCTACCTGCTGCAGCTGCTTAGACAGTGTCTCCCTGAATGCATGCTGGTTCATCGGTGCTTTCCCTTGTGCTTTGCAAAGATCTTTGTGAAGAAGGAAGGCATTCACGACGGCAATTTCTACAAAGTGGTAAAAGAATGCCTTGTACCACTTCTGATTCTTGTGGAGGACTTTATGAGGTTCAGTCAGCTCATCGGACAGCTCTACTCCCCCAATCCACCTGAATAATAAAAAATAGACAGGAATATAAGAAACAAACCACATTTTAAAGTATATTGCCAAATATACAGCATGGTACATACCGATAGAAATCTTTTATGGCTGGAGGAAAGGGTACCTCCTTGACGGTCCTGCATCCAGCGCTGTCCTTTACCTTCTTGCTGACGGTTTCATTCCCATGGGCTGTGTGGATGGTGGAGCAGAGGAAGATGTCTCGCCATTGAACAAAGAGCAGAGAGCCTGTGCGAAACCAACGC